ACAGGAACCACCGATACCAGTTCGTTACAGTTCTGATTGATTTCTTATTCATTCTTTGTGACGCACATCAATCTTGGTGGTTTTCAAAATTTAATAATAGTTTGTCATCGATGGCCATCAGCTGACGAGTTTTCTATTTTGAATCCCAATGATATTTACGCTCCGATTAAATGGTTGAGTGTACCGTGGAGAGGAAGGAGTCAAAGAAAACGGAGTAAGTAGGGGTGTCTACATATTTGCTATCTTTCTTATCTAAGAACCGAGTGATTGCCGGCTTATTTTGCAGAATGCAATTTTATTTTCATAAGGTATATTTGCATTTGTTAGTTTAGGTTTTATTATTATTATTATTTTATTATTATATTATTATTATCATTATATTATTATTATTATTTATTATTATTATTATTATTATTATTATTTATATTATTATACTTATTATTACTATTATTTATCATATACTATTATTAAATATTATAACTATTATTATTATATATTTAAGAAAGGATATTGCATAGAAGCATTTCCTGTTATGTATTGTATCCAGAACTTGTGATAGATATTCTTAAAGAATGATTTTACAGATATTTTTGTTGAATGAACTCCATACTCAAGTTTTCTCATATGATTTTATTAAAGTGACCATAGTCAGCAAATTGATACAGTAATCTCCTGTTATAATTTTCTCGTACTTGCAAAACTAACAATATAATCAAAGGATAAAGTTCCTCCCCTGCCCTCTCTCCCTCTCTCTCTCCTCCCTCTCCCTCTCCCTCTCCTCCCTCTCTCCTCTCTCTCTCCTCCCTCTCTCTCTCTCTCTCTCCTCCCTCTCTCTCTCTCTCTCTCTCCTCTCTCCCTCTCTCTCCTCTCTCCTCTCTCTCTCCTCCCTCTCTCCTCCCTCTCTCTCTCTCTCTCTCTCCTCTCCTCTCTCTCTCTCCTCTCTCTCTCTCTCTCTCTCTCTCTCTCCTCCTCTCTCTCTCTCTCTTCTCTCTCTCTCTTCTCTTCCTCTCTCTCTCTCTCTCTCTCTCTCTCTCTCTCTCTCTCTCTTTCTCTCTCTCTCCTCCCTCTCTCTCTCTCCTCCCTCTCTCTCTCTCCTCCCTCTCTCTCTCTCTCTCTCTCTCTCTCCTCCCTCCCCCTTTCCTCCCACCTTCGCTCCCTCTCCATTTCTCCCTCCCAGTATCAATGACAGAAATAGTGAAGTTACCTCTTTCTTCTCCTAATCCGGAATCCACCACAACACTAGGCCTACAAAGCCACCTCCCCCCTCCCCCCTCTTCTCCCCTCTCAATGAACTGGTTTAACCCGAATGGAGAGGGATGAAGAGCCGCTTTTCGGAAGATCCGGTGGCACGGCCTTGCTGGAACGGCAAAAAGGCGGAAAGGAGGGCGTGGTGGAACGGTTCATCCCGAGATCTTAAATGCACGGTCTATATAAGTACTTGTGTAACCCTTGCTTGAATGTGTTTTGGTGTGATTGGAGGGCGGGTATTTTTGTGTGTTCACTGCGCAGGCCCTCGCACGCACGTGTTGGCTTATGCGACTACTTACAAGCAGATACGTACAGGTAAATATACTCTTTATGCAAGAAAATTTACACACATACACGTTAAGGAAACATTCAACCACATGCAAGTAAATCTACATACAAGTACATATACATACCCATCCAAACTCACGGATGTAAGCAAACATACAAGGAAACTTGAATACACATGCAAGCAAAAATACACAAGTAAGCAAGCATACAGATACATGTAAGCCCATGCAAGCAAACATACAAGCACATCCAAACAAACATACAGACACATGCAAGCAGACATACAAACACATGCAAGCAAGAATATAAACACATCCAAGCAAACAATACAAATACATCCAAGCAAACAAACACAAATCTAAGCTAACAAACACATCTAAGCTAACAAAAACACATCCAAGCAAACATACATACACATCCAAGCAAACATACATACACATACAAGCAAACATACATACACATACAAGCAAACATACATACACATGCAAGCAAACATACATACACATGCAAGCAAACATACATACACCGGCAAGCAAGCAAGCAAGCATACAAACACATCCAAGCAAGCATACAACACACCAAGCAAACATACAAACACATCCAAGTAAACATTCATACACATACAAGCAAGCGTACATACGTACAAGCAAACATCCGTCCATGCAAGCAAACACTTTCATATTTTTTCCCCCGAAATGCCCAAGCGTTGCCGTCAATGCCCGACGTCGGGAAACACGTCCTCTACTTTTATTTCCCAAATCCTTTCTTCGCGGTCTGTACTTCTTCACATTCAAGTCGTTTCTTGCACCACGCGAAAGGGAATGAAATAAGAAAAAAAATATATGCCTCTCTGCAAAAGCTTCGATCCGGTACCATTCGCGAATTTTACACGCATTGTCTTTGGAAGGGAAGGGGGGGGGGGGCTTTTATATCTTTTGAAGGGAATTGACGTCACATTGTTCGGTTTGCTAAATATAGTTTGCCGGTGTCTTATGTGGCAATTGTGTCTTCATTCGTAAAGCCCTCGTTGTCCAATGCGTTTTTTTTAACGTACGTTTATGTGACTCCGAGGTTGTATTTCCCGTTTGGGTGTATGTCTTTGTATGATGTTTTTTTTTTTTTTTTTTTTTTTTTTTTTTTTTTGATTTCTATATTTATGAATTGTAGTTTTGAATGTATAGATTTTTTCCCCTGTGATATTGTGGTTTACCTTTGTGCTTAAACTTGATTACTGTTCTTAGATTTATCCTTAGTCTTGTTCTTGTTTTTATTCTTATTCTTACTCTCACTCTCACTCAAACTACGCAGATGGAGGGAAACATCGCGCCCCGCCCACTTTGGGTCTGGAGAGCCGCGCGCTTCTACGTTGCAACAAAGAGAGAGAGAGAGAGAGAAAGAAAAGAGAGGAGAGAGAGAGAGAGAGAGAGAGAGAGAGAGAGAGAGAGAGAGAGAGAGAGAGAGAAGGAGAGAGAGAAAAAAAAAATAAAGAAAGAGAGAGAAAAAAAAAAAAAAGAAAAGAGAGAGAAAAAAAATAAAGAAAAAAAAGAGAGAAGAAAGAGAGAGAGGGAGCAGGGGGGGCAGCATGAGCGTACCCATTGCTGCGTGTAGGAGAGAAGGATGGGGGATGGTATGGGGTTATGCTAGGGGTGGAGGAGTAGACGATGAGGAGGGGGGGGGAGAGGAGGAGGACCTCTATTCCCAGCTCCGCATGTGATGTCCGAGTCACGTGTCTACGGGGGAATAGGGGGGCTGCCTGCCTGCCGAACGGGCGGGCGGGCGGACCATACGACCCCCGAATAGGTCACGTGCGGAGGAAGGTGACTGCGCCGACGGGAATGGCTGGGCTTGGAATAATGGCTCGGCGTTCTTGTTGCCAGGGCTAAGGGTGCGTGGGGTGGGGGGGGGGCATGGAGAAAGGGGGAGGGGGAGGGTTGCAAGGAGGATGTATGTTTCGGTGTTTTAAGGGGCTGAGGCGAGGGCTTTGGTTGGGGGGATTTTGGGTGGAATTTGAGGTGTGTGCGAGAGGGATTCGGGTTCGTGGTGTTGATGTTATTGATTGTTGATATTGTTGCTGTTGCTGTTAAATTTTGGTTTTGTGGTTGCAGCTACTGTTGTTGTTGTTGTATTGTTGAGTCTGTTGCTATTTTTGTTGTCTTTGCTGCTCCTATTTCTGTTATTTTGCGTGTTATGGTTCAGAAGTTAATATTGAAGACTTAAATCAAAATATTAATTACGTGAAATGTAATTACAAAATGATAATTGACAAATTGACAAAGAATGTATATATATCATCGAACCACGATCACCCAAATCCTTTTCTACTATATATAAAACGCGAAAGAATTGCCACAACCAACTATTGACCTTGAACCAGACCTTGTAATAAATATATACGCCCCTTTCCCTGAAAATATATCGTCTACCCCTTCCTACTCTTGAATTGTCCCCCCCCCTCCGTTTCTCCTCCCCTTCGCTACTGGCAGGCCCATAAATTCATACAAACTTGTGGATAGAATGGCACCCTAGCTCTTGGCACGAGACTCCACACGTGATCTGCAGGGTTGGACTCACGTGTCTTAAAGTTATATAATGGCGAGGTCGTGTGAGCTGTTTCTCCGTGCGCTGCCGGTTTTTTCTACGGCGTACAGCTGGCAGGTAGGCGTGCGGTGGCGGACGTATGAGGTTTTTATTTTTTTCTTATTCTACTTTCTGTTATTTATGGTGTGAATTTATGCCTTTTGGATATTTTTTTGGTGGGTGGAGGTTCAATGTCTTATATAGAGGGTATCTGATTCTTTATTGATAATGGGGTTGGTAAGAAAATATAAGAAAAAAAATTTACTTGGCAGTTTTGCTGTGCCGGTGTATAGTGCAGGTTGGGAAATGTTTCAAAATGGATATGTTCTTTCATACAATTTTCTCTATTCTTCTGCGACATAAGGGAGGTGGAGCATACTCCTTTCTTTATATTTTCAATGCGATGTGTAAGAGAATGACTTCCTGCTTTCAAGTAATTTGTAACATTTCGCCGAAAAATAATGCTTGGCAACTGAAGTTTTCTGTGATGTAAAATTGTTTTGTTTTTAATCATAAAGACATCCTTATATCAGTTAGAAATATATATCAACTGTCAATAAAACCGTTGAACCCAGTAAACGTAATAGATGATAGATTAATTGCCCTGTGAATTAAGTAATTGGTAATTGTCGTACCTAGGCAGCGCAATGCTTTCGAAATTATCGTACATTGCAGTAAATGTGATTGAAAACGTTTTGCGTTTTTGTCTTTTTGTTTCATGAACAAACGTTTGGTAGGGGAAAAAAACGTTTTTTTCGCCCTGGATTGGTTACAGGTCGAATGCATACTAAATGCGCGACAGACTATATGTACTGATATATTTCTGAAAGGTCAATCAATGCAGATGGGCATTTGTATGCTTATTTAATATATTTTTAATTTATATACATTTTGAACCAGTGAAAGTTAGTTTGGGTGTATATTCACGGTTGACATATTTATAGAGAGAGCGGGAATGACAATAATAGTCGTCCTTGATTTGTATTTATGCCATAACCTAATTAGAAAATTTGTCACCCATTTCGAGCGATGAGACAAACAGCTGATGAGGTGATGCTGGCATGGCGGGTCGAAATTAGCATTGCATGCTGTAATCGGTCAAACCTAGTAAGATTTACCATGGGATTTATCTACTCTTGAAGAGTAATATTCTCTTAATGTGTTTGCCAATAAAAATGCCCCGTAATGCCACTACGTTTCGTGTGGAACTGAAAATTCAGGGGCGGAAAAACTATAAAATACTGAGTGATGGCAACTCCGCCAAAACAGCTGGTTGGATGAGATACCAACGAGGCCTTAAATTGAGAATTTTCAGTCCAATGACTGGGAAACAACGTTTAAAAATATTTTGCTGAGGTTATGCTTCCACGTTCCATATGAAGGTTTTGAAGGAAAAATACACTTTTTCGAGAAAAAAAACTTGGATACCCAACAACTGACAACAGAATAATCAATAGAGTAAGAAGCGATTTAGGGCGTCCACGGACGCACCACTCAGCGGCGCCACCAAAGTGGTTTGCGCCAGCAATGCAAGGATGACACAAAGAAGTCAGCATGGAAGGGCTCATTGTAAAGAAGCATGCATACGAACCACTGCGTTCATGTACTTCCTTTACTGCTGAACAGGAATCGCCTGTGGGATTTGACATCGGTCTGTGTGGCAGGGAACGCGATTGCCCGCCAGAGGTGGCGCCACTGCGTGGCGTGGAGCTTTCTCTCGCAGTGGTTGAGTCACGCCACAGGACGGAGGCGCCACCAGACCAGTTGTGCATTGGGTCTTGGTTTGTGAGGAACTTGATGTTGCATTTTAAGATGACGAGTTTTGATGCAGATCAGTTTATTATTGAAGTAGAAAAGCGACCGTCGATTTGGGACTCCAGGTGCGATGGATACAGCAATAAATTGACCAGAGGGGAGGCATGGGAGGAGCTGTGTTGCATTTTCGTGCCAGACTTCAAAGATATGGATTCGCTGAGGAAAAATAAAGCAGGTGTGTGTTTCTCTGTTGTTTTGATTAATATGTTTTCATTTGCAATACATGTATCGTTAATTTAGGATCATTTAAAGTATTTAAAGTAGCAGAAAATATGAGTATTTTCAAGGCTTGATCTTTATAATAATTCATGCAAATAAAAAATAAGTTTCAGAAAATTTAATTTTTCAATACTTGTTTCTCCTTTCATACTAATAGAAAGGTAATGAATATTACTTCAATCACAATTATATATATATATATATATAAAAGTTATGAGTTATATGTCAACCAGAATTCTGATTTGTCACGGCAGAGACCCTAATTCACCAATATTAAAATGTAGTTCTATGCATAGCCCTCCAATGCCAAAAATTCTGAAATAAATATTGGAATTAGCGAATGAAATTACATTGCTTTATTATCCATAGAACTTCTTGATGAAAAGCGTCCTGTCTCACTCTCCTTTCCAGCCGTGGATCTGCAGCGGAAGTGGAAGAGCTTCAGAGACTCCTTCAGAAGAGAGCTGGCGAAGGTCCGGAAAGCCAAGTCCACCTCAGCAGCTGAAACCGGAAGGAAGGAATACATGTACTTCAAACAGCTGTTCTTCTTGCTGCCGATCTGCGAGGCGAAGCAGCAGCAGGAGGAGGAAGAGGAGGAGGAGAGGGTGTGGGGAAGGCCAGCCGAGGGGAGAAATCCAGGAGATGAGAGCCGGATATCCCCTCATGCACGCCGGAAGAGGAAATCGCCCCCTCCCGAGGACCAGCTTCTCCAGACTCCGACGAAAGCAGCGGGGAGGAGATCCCGAGAACCTCGTCCTCCTGTGCACCCGAAGAGGAGGAAAGCGCACCCTTCTGAGGAGCAGCTTCTGGCCGCGCTAGCAAGGAGCGTGGGGAGGAAGGCGCGAGAAAGGGACCTCGACGATCCAGACAGGCATTTTTTGCTCAGTCTCCTGCCTCACTTCAGACGCCTCCCGGACGACGTGAAGTTGGAGGTCCAGGGCGAATTCATAAACACCCTCAAAAGGTTCAGGCGAGAGGCTGCCTTCGACAGTCGGCTCTCCCCTCCCACCCACTTCCTCCCCGGCCTTCCTCCACAGACTTTCCCTCTCAGTAATGCGGGCCCATCATCGACCGAACCCCAACAGAACCTCGCTTCAGCCACGCATTGTCCTCGTGCCAACCCCCAGCCTTCGAAGTCCGCGGGGGCTCCGGTCGCATCGCAACCCCAGTCGACACGAACCCTCAGTCCCTCTCCCGAATCACCAGCGGCTTCAGAAGTGGCATCCCCGCGGTCGGATGGCTCAAGTATCTGTGATGATTATTTCCCTCATTAGATCTACGAGAACAAGGTCGTTGCTACATTTATACGAATGAAACTGTTATCTGTGAATAAAATTTTATACAGTAATGAAATTTTGTTTTCGGACATGACCCCAAAGTGTTTAATATAGTATTAATTTGTGAACAGCAACCAAAAGCAACTGATGGCCAGCCAATACCCGTTCTCCTAATTTTTGTTTTGTCAGCGATGATTTCTTCGAAAGAAAAGAGAAATGAGAAGCCTCATCTTTACGCTGTACAGTAAAACCAGGATCATTGATTACATTTTATAAATCAGTGAAACTTTTCTGCAGCGAACCTCTTAAGAGGAGCACCGCTGTGTAGGCCCACCTCAGTGGCTGCGCTCATTAACGCTTCCGAACGATTGCCTTTAATGTAAGAACCCTTAGTGACGACTGGCAACTGTCAATAAGGGTACTCACACAAGAACAAATTTCTTTCCAGCATTTCGGAAACAAGTACACGCGTTTCGCCCTCGGGGATGAGGCGAGGGGTCGCGGGCGAGAGAGCAGACGCGGCCGAGGGCGGGTATGGTGATGACGGCGATAGCGACTGGCGAGAGATCGATCAAAGTAGCAGACGCCATCGCAGAATGAGAGAGAGAGAGAGAGAGAGAGAGAGAGAGAGAGAGAGAGAAAGAGAAAGAAGGAAAGAATCCGAATGTCAAATGTGCGATAGGTTGGGAAGGTCGGGGAACTTCGAATGATAAATATTATTTTTTTCTACTTGCAAAATGAAATATTATTTTGGCTCGCTGCTTGTTTGTTTAAAAGGTTGTTTCGGTGTGGTTTGGGGCCTGGTATGAATGGAGCATTGTATTTGCAGTCGCTTGTTAGAGTAAAGCTTTATACTCCGATGAACTGGTGAAATGGGTCGGTTTTTCATGAGTTGGTTTATTTTGTTATTCGTTCGTGAAACATTGTCTCCCTTGTCATTTGGCAGGGAGTCATGGAACCAGCACAGTAACCCACGACTACAAGAATACATCATAAAGTTTGGCCATTATCAGAGTTTAAAACCCAAGAGAACTATAGATAACGTGCTAGATATCCTTAGCTTTAATGGTAAGTTATGGGAGTGTATACCTTGGACAAGTTCAGAGTGAGTCAGCAATGGGAAGTTTGGCCGATCCGATCCGTAATCAGCTGCGTAAACGGGTCAGCTGTTCCAGGAGAGAGGAGATCGATAAGTATAAGCCTTGCGGAAGATCATTCGTGTCGGCCCGATAGACCTACGGGGATTCGCGGTTAAGGGGTCCTGTGGCGAGAAATGACACGGGTTCACGGCCGCAAAATCCCGTGGCAATCATTCGGACGCTCATTGTAATGCAACCCGAAGCGAGGCGAGCGTGCGAGGCGAGAGTTGGGGCTGCAGTTCCCTCGGGTTGAGACTCAACCGCAAGTACATAGTTGAGACTTCCGTGCTTGGTTATTAGCTATCTGTGTTTTGGGCTCGCGTGATAGGCGAGACCTTGAGGTGTGTCTGGAAGGAAAGCAGACAGACAGAAGGGCACCACGTTAAGTCTCATTCATATTTTATTGCGGCTGATTAAACTTGATGATGCGAGCCAGAGGGAGCACCATCCCATTCGTCCTTGCACAATTGATGAACCTGTCACAGTAGCGCTTGTCGAAATCGCTTTCCTTCTGCTGCGCGATTTGTTTTCTGGCATTCCTCCATCTCGCCATGCGGGGGGAATGATATTAGCTCGATTATATTTCCAGGCGGGAGAAAACCTTCGCAGTACGAGGCTTCGTATTCTCCACGGGGCAATTGAAGCCGTGTCTCTCCTCGCACCGCTCGTCTCCATCTCGTCAAGCTGGGTAGCTGAAGGGGATCGTGCACTCTAATGAGCGTGGGCCGGGGCGCCGCTCTTCTCTTTTTTTTACGACACCCATTCCGGAGATGCAGGTTCCACTTTGTTTGGGAAAGTTTGGTCATTTGATCGCCAGGCTGTTTGGTTAATTTTGCTTAGGGTTCATTCCATTCTGCTCCTGCGGCGTGCTTGCTGTATGGCGGGTTCGTTGACGCTGCAATGAGGGACGGCTTATTGGCGTGTGGTAACAATACAATCGAGAAGTAGAGACCGAGCATAGTTGGGATGGCTCTGTGCAACCGCACTCCCTGATCTGCCGGGAGATGGCCAGTCTCTGCCAAACTGGCGGTGTGGAGATTCTCTTCGATTTTCATTATTTACTCGAGTGTTCCTCTGATTTTTCAACCTGACATTTTCAGTTCATTGAGGGCAATTTCACGAATCGAAAGGTTGTCTGACCCTCTCCGATCGTATGCTCCTGCTTAATTAAAACCCTCATTTATGCATGTGGTGAAGAAATGCGCTATCTGGCAACTCTTCCCGAGGAAGAAAATATCAGCTGGGTTGCCATAGCAACGAGACGCCGGCGGGGTCGATCAACAAGGATGCGGAGGGTGTGAATTGTTCACCATCGCTCCAGGGTACACATGCCTGGCTGGTATAGGAGGTGTGTGTGCGTCGAGGAGGGTTGGTTGGGAAATGCGTGGGTGTAGGAGGGGTGGGGGGTGGGGGGAAGAGAGCAGAAAGGAGTGCGGGTGTCGACTAGAGAATAAATAGTTACAAAAGCGAAATGAAGAGTCTTTCACATACATATATATCGCCTAGCTATTGGTTACCCAAGAGGGTTTCACCTCCACCACGCGCGCGGTGCCACTTGGCCGCATGCCCGTGAGCTCTCTGTGACCAGAGGACCTGTGGAATATTTGATAAATGTCTCTCCACTGAATGATTCACGGCGGGATCGTTATTTTAGGCTCTGGTTACGTTCGCATGAGACTGAGAGGCGGTCGCTTCTGAGGGACTTAAACATCGATTTCTATAAAAGTCACATTGGTAAAAAAAAAAAAAAAAAAAACGAGAACGCCTGAACATTTAGAGGGGGTATTCCACGTGAAATATATCTATCCGATATGTTAAATTTTATGTCATACTTAGTGATCTATCTTAATATTTCTGGCTTATAATTAGACCGCCCTGCCTCTCAAAAAATAACCCTGGGAACGGTGTGACGATGGAAGTAATTGAGCCGAGGAGGGGAGAGGAGGAGGGGGTGGCAAGCGGGAAGGGAGGTGGAAGCTCTCGGAACGCGGTGCCTCTGGGTCACTAAACAAGTCCTCCCATACACCCAGTTATCGAGCGCTTGGCAACGGGCGGCGGGAGCGGTGGCTGCGGGTGTCCTGTGAACCGCGGGCCGACCTGCGGGAATGTATGGCGTAAAAAGATTTCGGGGAGACCTTGACCTTCCTAGCCAAGCACATAGATACGAATGTGTATAGACATACATATACGTATACATACAGTTACTCATATTCATACGCACGCACACACCCACTTTCACTCACTTGCAGGCACACACGCGCGCACACGCACGCACACACACTCGCACTCACATAACAGCATTTATAACACTTTCCACAAATTTTATTCCATGGTCGTGTGCGATGGAGAGAAAATGTGGGCGACTTTTCAGCGGGGAAAGGTTACAGGTCTGCATTTTGCATTTCGTTATATAAGGATAGTAAATGTGTCTTTATACCGTTTGGCTATTGTTAATTTATTATATTATTGTTATTTATTATTATTATTATGATGATGATGATGATGAAAAGAAAAAAAATGAAAAGGTGTAATAAGGGTTTTGAATACAATTTAGATAAAATTAAGTCTTCTTCAGAGGGGATTCGTCCGTCACGCATCGCTACATATCTATCTCCTGCATCTTTTTTCTTCGCAATATCTCGAAATAGCAAACAGCTTCCCAAACTAGTAATGCAGATTGAAAACAAAAGAAAAACAAAATGTCATTCTTTGAAAAAAAAAAAAAAAAACAATTGCTACACAAGGTCCTTGAACTCTTATCATTTGCTACAGCATTTTGGCCTTGTGCAGTACTGGCGTCGAAGGCATAACTGCCGCTGCAATTTATATAAAAATTGCACGGGGGCAATTTATATAAAAATTGCACGGGGGCCGGTGGGGGGGGGGAGGAGAGCGTAGGTGGTTGGCTCTTGGCAGTTTGGTTGAGTGATGCTTCTCAGGTGACAGTGGCATTCTTATGCTGAAGCGGCATTGATTCACTGTGGGTGTGTAGGTTGAGGGAAGGTGGGTGATGATGGGGTGGGGGCTTGTGCGTGTGTGACAAAACTGATGTATTTTAATAACATATTCAATGTTATTAAGAGTCCAATGGTTTTCTCTCCTCTATTCTCTTTGCTTGGTCTATAAATATCTTAACTTCCTCGACATCAATTTTCCTAGATTTGGGTTTTGATTAAGCAAGCGTGATCACTCGCAGCCTTCAAGTTATTTGTAACACTATGGATGAAACTTTTTAGAATTTAATATATGGTATTATCTGTATTATTTTATCAGGCAACGTTATCATGAATCATGGTGGACTAATACTTTTGTGACCTAATTCTTAGACTATAAAATAGTTTATTGTTTACCTATCTTGTCATAAATCACATTGTTCCATATACCAACATCAGCCTTCGTACACGTACACACATCCCCCGTGTACATCAGGAATGGTAATGAAAAGAAACGCACCAATACGTGTCCTGCTTCTGGCATCGAACGCCAGCCCGGAGATAAGTGAGAGGCTGGGTGTGCACGTGCGGAGGGTCACGCATATACTCCCGTCGGGCTTGAGAGCACTGAGGGCTGAAGATTCCCCTTATGGTGTGTGTTTGTCTCTATTCTACGTGTCGGTTGTGCTTTTGTGTGATTGGTAGCTGTATGATTATGGTTTCTCTTTGGAATGTCGCGGTGTAGGAAGTTTGTAATACGATTCGAACGCTTTCATTGACGTTCGACCCCAGTGACCCCGGGTCTTTGTTTTTCTTTTTCCTTCTCTAGTTATTTTCCATTTTTTTCCTATTCAGGTGTCGTTGTCCGCAGAGAGAGCTGGGGGATCGCCATTGACGTCCCATGACGGTCGCTCTCTGTTATGTTAACCGATGAAAACTTGTTTAATAACGGTATTGTTCCCAGGTGTGAAGAGGGCCTTCAGGTGAGACATTCCTACATAAAA